TCTTTTATTTCCTAAAGCCATAACTCCGTTCAAACTCATCCAATCCAAAAGTGAATACGCCATCATAAACTAGAAGATTTGCTCTATCAAATGCTTACTAGAACTGCTCTCAAACGTCCAGTATTAAAAAAACGGCTACGTTGAGGATTTTCGCACGAGTACCGCCGAAAGGTACTTTTTCGCTACATTGGCACTATTTCAACGGCTGTATATCCTTTTAAGGGCGTATGTACTAAAGTAAGAGCAGATTTGGAATCATTGCTTTTCTCTTTCTAAGAAAAGTGATTGATTAGCGTTTCTTAACTTTAAAGGTTACATGTTTATAAATTTAACCCTGAAGAGTCACCCACGTTATACACTTATGGTTGAATGGTGTACACCTCCCTGTAAATGCGCACGGACACTTTCAGAATTCTCTCGATTGTTCCTGAATTGAGGTTGTTTGTCCAAGGAGCCGTAGTTGAAGCGCGCGCAACAACTAGACCCTTTCTCGGATGCGCCGTGTACCTCACATCCCTTCAGATTCGGGGTCTTACTTGAAAGATGAAATATCTCTTGGAAAGCGTGCGAAATTCAGATTCTTTAACTTGTGTGGTGATAAAACACTGAAGTAACTAAGAATTACCGGACGCCTCAGAATCACGAAAATTTTGTGTGGGTGAAATATCATTTTCATTGGAAATCCTCTGGCCTGGCATCGACTCATCCTTGATGTTTGTCCTCCGACGGTGATGATCCCACTGCACCAAAATGGCTCGATCTCTTCCATCCAGCGGGCCGATACGACCCCCCCCCTGCGACGTGTCGAGGATTCCTCAACGCACGCTTGACCCTGTGGGACGCGGCTATCGAGTGCGGGCCCAGCTCTGCTATCCAGAGTGTTGCTTTAGTCAATATGCAGCGGTGCGGGTGTTAAGACTGCAGCCGTTTACGAATATTCATTTTCGATCGACCCAGTGTGACAACAGAGTTAATTGACATTCATTCTCGACCCTCGACTTTGAAACTCGTATTTTCTATACCCGCAAAGTCGGCGTATACACCAACACCAGGCTTATATATCTATGCATGCTAAAATAAATGCAAAAACGATATTACCTCATAAAAATAATATTTGCTATAAGGTGTTAAACAAACAAACACCAAGAAATAGTGAATAAAAGGGCTACCGTACAAGGTCTATCTGGGCGGCCACCATGGCTGCTAAAATGTAAGTTAGTTCTTGTTCAAAACATGTTATATTTCTGATCAAGCAGGCTGCTTATCAAATCTGATTGGATAATTACACAGATCTGGACTCACAATCAGAGCATCCCTATATACTAAATGGAGTATAAATAAATTCCCTTCAACACTACTCCTTTCCTCATTTCGATACGTTGATCAGAGAGTAACCAGAAAAGGACGAAATTTTAGTGATTAAAAAGGCTAGACATCCTTCTCTCCGGGTTTCGGCGTTTGGGCCACACTTCTGTCAGAAAAGGAAAAAAGGATCTCAACTGTTTTAATAGCATGCCACCGTATGGAGGAATTCGGTCACCCTTCAATAATTTCTTGTACTGTCTTTGGTTTGAATGTTTTTTATCTCTCTAATAATATTATAAACACATAAGTTACATCCCTACAAATAGATTGAGATACAAACAAGCACTTTTTCATATTAAAGTAAGACAAATGGATCCCCATTCCTCGTTATAGCAACATCCGGTTCCGAAAAAAAAAGGAAATTACAGTAAACGCTCACTCCCCCCCCCCCCCCCCCCCCCCCCCCCCCCCCCCCCCCCCCCCCCCTCACTTTGAACTTTTTCACTGCACATGGGAGCATAAGCAATTCTCGAGAGTTTTCCAAAGTGGAAGCCATACCCGCAAAGAAATTGGAACGGATCGCCAACTTCCTCCTTTCTTTGGCTTATACGGCCTCTCACTTACCAGGAAACGCTTTGAAATTCCCATGGAACCTTGGAAGGACACCTAGATGGATCGATGCAGCCCTGAACGCTGATTACAAAAATGGACATTCGAACTGCTACTTCAATTTCCTGAGAAAATTATGAGCCATCCATGGAAGGCATAAAAGGATAAAGCATTTGCCGTTGATCAATCCCTTTTGGGATGCGGCACGCATTCTACTTCCATTTGTACATTCGTAGTGGTGGCGTTTGAATGCGATGTGGCCTATACAATGACTTGCGGGGGCCAGCCGATGTACAAGTCAGTGTTTTTATCCTCCCAGACAAGTCTGGTACCAAATATATACCAATAACGAAAATGATGGAAGGCTTGGTTGGCCCGGGCGACTCACGATCCAGATTTGATCCCGGATCGCTCGCGTGGTAACTTCACTTGCCACTACACCACTTCCCGCCCTGACCATCCATTATTGCAAAAAAGCATGAGGTGAGCTTAGTGGCGGAATCCAGTCGCTATGGCTCTGCGCCAAAACGAGTCTCATATTCGTAATCAGGGCACCCATTTACCTTATAGAACAAGTTCCAGGCAAAAAGCAACCGTGTTTCCACATAGGTTGCACCTCATCATTAGCGTTCTTTTGCAACTTTTTAGGCTCACAACTTTCTTACAAAGTTCACGTAGCAGTTTTAGTGTCCATATTTGTAATCAGCGTCCAAGACTCTATCGATGCACCTAGGTCTCCTTCAAAGTTCTCTGGGATGATAAGTAGCCACAAGTTACCCAGTCCCCAGGCCTACACTCATCCTCTTTCGTTTTGGATCGAAATACCTGACTCTCAAAAAGATTCTGCGGGTAGAGGAAGCGTCTTCAGCGGCACAATCACAACGGAGAGTTAAATATAAGTGAAACTCCCATGAAACATTCTGAATCTCACCAAGACGACCTCATCAATCAAAACCCTCTTTTGAAAAATACACCGCCAATCCTACCTAACACTATCAGCCGTAACTACCTAACTTGCAATCTTCGAATTGCGTCATCCTTATTTGGATAATTGTTGCTTTTTTGTGGTGTCAGTAAAAAGTGGTACAACTCCAGTTTCTTCGCGCCTAATTAAGGGTGCTTCGCTCCTAGGTGGATTGAAAAGTTGGTTTAGAATTAGCTTCTCGCCAAGAGCTCATTTTGGCCTTGACCTAAAGAATACAAATGCCTGCTTCCTATTCCTTTAGTAATATCCGTAGCTAAAAAGGTACAAACAGTTACGGACAATCTTCAATATTTCCAGATCATTCATCATTGTGCTTGTCCTTCTTGCGCTCACAGCTGACGTCTGGTCACAATTCGTGAGTTTCTCTTTCTGATTATCATAAATTTCTGTTACATTCATAACTCCTATCATAATTTTCGCTTTATTTAGTATGGATTTCCATGCATGTACTATGGATGTGGCTTTGGCTATGGTTTTCCATGGTTTCGGAAAGCGTGAAGCAATCCCAGAAGAGCTCGACAAATCGCAGCCCACACCGTGAAGCTTGTACCGACCCATAGCATTTTTGTTTAACCTTCAAAATAACCAGCTGTTTACGGATCAGACATGTTATTCTGTATAAAGGACAAGGATAAAGCATTTGCCATTGATCAATCCCTTGCTGGGATGCGGCACGCATTCTACTTCCATTTGTACATTTGTACATTCGTGGCGTTTGAATGCGATGTGGCCTATACAATGACTTGCGGGGGCCAGCCGATGTACAAGTCAGTGTTTTTATCCTCCCAGACAAGTCTGGTACCAATTAACCGACCCCGGAGGGATGGAAGGCTTGGTTGGCCCGGGCGACTCACGACCCAGGATTTGATCCCCGGACCGCTCGCGTGGTAAGCGCGCCACTTGCCACTACACCACTTCCGCCCTTAACATGTCTATCAAGCACAGTTACTCCACAAACTGCTAACTTCGTATTTAGGAGCAGCACCTCTGAAACCCGTTTGGAAGGAAGGAGGAACCCATCGACAGTCTGGGGAGGGGACTGGTGAATAATTTCATAACTGAATTTCGGAATAGTATTCTTCAGAAATTCCTCACCAAAGCCATATTAAAGGCAAGCCCCGGGATATGGTAAGGATACCGCAAGGGTATTTGTAAGATCAGTGCCTACTAGCTCAATCATCACTACGAAGCGCTCTTATCACCAGTTCTATCCCTCCCCTGCTTGCCTCTAAGGATGCATGCGAAATCAGACCCTGGAGCAGGGTCAGTCCTATCGTTGCTACTTTTCAAAAAGTTTTTACGACCCCCTCCCTCATGAAATGTTTCATACGACCCCCTCTTTCAAAACAATTTTTACCCCAAAAAATTACCGTCGAGCGGGGGGGGTATATACTTACCGTAAAACCGCAAATTCCCTACATTTCCCTACAATTTCCATGTATTTTACCCATATTTCAACTGCTCCATTTTCTAGGGGGTATATACGCGCGCTGAAACGGCAAATTTTCTCCCGCGCCGCTCCCCACTCATCACATGCAACTTCTTACAACCGAAGCAAGTACGACCCCCTCTACAAACTCATCAAAATACGACCCCCCGTTGCTACTTGTAGCAACATAGGGTTGACCCTGCCCTAGAGCTCATGTCGTTAGGGGAGACGCTACTTGCATAACAAGAATTAAACCTTATAGAGGGGAACTGACTCTGGGGAGGAGGTAAGCAACCTTTCTCGCCTGCCCTGTACTTAGTCCTGCTGTCGCCTACCAGCGATTCTTGAATACTGGGAAAGTCGCGCTTTAAGGAATATGATCGGAGAGACCTTAACAGCTTGAGAGCAGAGGAAATATCATGCGTTTTTTCCAGAAAGGGAGACTACTAAGATAGGGGCATTAGCAGGTCGTGGTTATGCCAGCATCAGAGCGCGTATTTGCATTAGGCGGGTGCAACGATTTCATTAAGCAATTATACGTATCGATTAGGAGAATAAGCGATAAAAAAGGATCCGTATTGGTATGTTGCTCTAATCATTCAGCGGGCGCCTAATTGCCTACTTGCTTACTCGCCTAATCGATATATTGCATCCCTCTCCTTATAGGCTAATCGCCTAATCGCACGTATGATCGCCAACTCTCTGAATGCTGCCGAGGGATAGTGAGAATGTAAGCTAAACGTCATGAAACATCTTGTAACCTGATTGGTGAGATCTAAAATGAGAAAGAAAACGCAATAGGTCATTAGGAGGGGGACGTTTAAAACAGGACATATTAAATCAACGCGCTTGGCGGAGGTGTAGCAATACTAACCAAAAGAAGAGGGAAGTACGCTTGGTAAAACATTGCTTAAAGCAACAATCCAGGAACGAATTCGCGGGTAAGGACCACCTATAATGACGTTGCAGGTGAGAAGTTGGTCAATGGAGAAAGAAAAAGTAGAAAAAAACGTCGGGCAGGGGCTTAGACAGGGACTCCCCCTGCCGTTTAGGGAGAGTGTGTTGGACGAGTTGTCCGAACCTGCCCGTAGTACATGCGCTCCAATTGCAACTGCTGGCAAATAGCCATGCATGCTTGCAAATACATAACTATTTGCCAGCAATCGAAATTGAAGCGCTTCAATTGCGTTCTTATGGAATCGACCTCATACAGCGCGGCGGTCCCGCAACGACCGCTAGTCGAGCAAGCGCTCTGCACAGCTGCTTGGAGGCGGCCCCACCACGGATCGGTGGATCCGCCCCTCTTGAAGGATTTCGACTGCTTCCAACGCCTTTCAGAGGTAAGTTTTGAAGTTTGTGACATTTCCCATGAACTCCAATCAGGCTGAGGCATGTTTCCACCACTTGAAAACCAAATGGTTGAAACCCTGCCTGGACTGTTGCTTTAAAATCGCTCTCCTTACGAATTCCTATCCCCTCCCTGGGCTTCATGGGAGCAGAGTCAACCGTGAACGTTGCGCCTTTTCGAAAATTTCGCGACCCCCTCTTTTAGGGGGCTCTTGATGCGACCCCCACCACCAACATGACACTCAGGAGGCTCCCGCAATACGACCACCTTTCTCCCTACCCCGACCACCACCCTCGTCAGAATGAACTGTTTCTATAGCATTTGATTCCGCAGTCGACACACCCCAAACACCGCCTACTTCTCCTTCGAAGTGGGCGTCGAGGGGGGGGGGGGGAGCTTAGGCACAACGGAACCGCAAATTTTCCCTTTCACTACTATACACGCGCTAATTTACACCCTCTAAATCCCTCAAAACACCAACCTAAACCACCTAAACCAATCTAAATCACTTCGACATTCACCCAACCAATTACTAATCCTACTCAACCCGTGACTGCGATCCCCCTCCCTTCCTATCAAGCAACCACAAGTACGACTCTTCGTTCGAATAGTGCGAACATGGTTAATAGCACGGTTGATCCTGGTCCCAAGTACTATACGTGGCTCACACACTTGAATGCCCTCCCCCAACGATATGAGCAGCCAACGAAATTTTCAAGATCCGGCAGTGCAGTTTGTGGAACATCTGTCTTTCCCTAAATTAGGCCACACAGGTGATCCTCTGATTGCCTATACATATGAATGCCAAAGACGTCTGGAACGCCATTTACTGGCTCTACTATCACTGCAACTATCAGAAGTAGCTAACATGGAGAGACGTTTCGAGGCAGGGTCAACGCAGAGTCAACCCTGCGTTGCGCAGTTCGCAACGGCACGTTGAGAGATCCTCAACGCACGCTGTATGGGCGGAGACGCAGACGGCTCGAGCATGCGAGTGTGAATGTTCGCGCGAGAGAACGTGTCTAATCGGGCGAAACTGCGCAACGTGGCCGTTGAAACTGCGCAACGCAGGGTTGACTCTGTCAACCGTCCGTTGGACAAAGTCCAACGCGACGACGAGAGTAATGCCGAGAGTGAACGTACGCACGGAGACACAGACGGCTCGCGGGTGGCGAGAGTGAATGCCGGCGCGGAGAGCGGTCAACATCGGTCCAACGTCGCTCCAATATCGGTCCAACGTAACGGTTGACCCTGCTTTCGAGTGCGATGAAACTCAAACCTGTTCTTATACAAAATGGAAACCATACGGGAGGCAAGAACAAGAAACCTATTTGAGAAAACGTTTCGTACATGATCCATGTGATAACATCGAAAGCAACAAAATTAGTGGTGATAGTAGTGATACTCTTTCGATTGCCAGTTCTTCGCGGTGGTTGACCGCATGTGGCGGCTCATCTATGCACCTTTTCGAGCAGCTCTAGCTAGTGATTCAACCTTTGTGAGTTTTCCCCGATTTGCCTTTGCTGTCAAGACATGCCTATCACGCATATATTTCTTCTAAATTCCAGTTTTACGAGAATCCGTCATACTTGCAGTATGTTGTTACGACGTTGAAAGCTTCTGTAGCTCCAGTAAGCTTGTTTGTCTTGTTAAAAAGCTTGTCTGTCCTGTTCTGTTTGTAGTGTTTATGTACGTCCATACGACTCGATTTTTTATGGCTACCATATCCTGCTGGGATGGGTTTAAAAGAGAATTCCACGACAAGGACAAAGGTCGAAGGAGGGAAAATTTATGTACTGGAGAGAGGCGGACCGGTGCGGACCGACACGTGATTCGCTTCGAAGGATATGCCTCCAGCGATCTGGCATAGCCTTCCCAGCGGCGCAATTGGACGCGGTACGCCCCCTCTCGTGTCGTCTCATGTCTGTGTCTCTAGCTGTCCAGCAGAGAGAGCGTTAGCGTTGAAGAGAGCAGCATCGGCGAGAGTCGCATCAATGCGGAAATCAACGGGGAAGGAAGTGGCCGGGTGTCCCCCAAGAGGCCCATCGCGCGGCGAAGGAAGAGACGCAGATGCGGCAAAGGACGAGTCGCAGCGCGTGCTGTGCGATATGAGACGTAGTATGGTACACTCTATTTAACCTGACGCCTAACCGCTACAGTATGCGCTGCGACTCGTCCTTTGCCGCGTCTGCGTCTCTTCCTTCGCCGCGCGTGGGCCTCTTGGGGGACACCCGGAAGTGCACGATTTCTCGGGTTCTAGACCATTCCTCTTGATTTTTTGTACATCACTAACCTCTTCGAACTTAATTTCTAATAGACTGCTTTTTCATCGCAAAATCCGCCTCTAAGGGGACCATGCAAAGATGTTTGTGCCGTGATCGTAACAATCCATCAGGAAAAGTTTACGCGTGAAAGATGGCTTCAATTAGATGAATTCGCCATGCGAGTATATTGCACAAAATCTTAATTTTTTTAGTGAGTGGCTAAATTCCAGTGCGTGCTCCAAGACGTAGTCAAGGCTGCCATCGTCGATTTGGGATACTTCACTGCGACACCTATAATGTGGATCATCTTCGTCCTCGCATTTGCTTATTCGAGACGTAATCCTTAATTTCATTGAAAAACCATTGTTGATTTATTTGGTTTTTCTTTCTCAAAAATATGAGACTGATTAGTGGTAGTATTATGAAACTTCCTGCATTTTGAACTCGAATTAGAACC